AAGGCCACGTAACCCACAAGGCCGTTTGTCTCTTTCTCTGGGATCAGTAGAAAGGTTAGAGGGTCCTAAAGGCAGCGTGGGCACATATGATTCTTCGCTGGACATATGGTCAAGCTATATTGAGCGTTACTATCAAACTTTAATTGTTGTATTAAAATGTATTCTTTCCAGTATATTTCCTTCCTTGGGAGTAAATGCCAGTGATCTGTTTTTCTCCCAAACGAGTGAATGTTTTAGCAGTATGTTTTGGTATACTTAACTGATAATAAGGAGCTCAGACTCTCTTCAGCCTTGATGGGAGCTGTTATTTGCTAGTGTCTGTTATTTGTGTGTGTGTGCGTATGACATTCTATGTAGGTTCTGGACGGTCGGACCAGACACCCCGGCGCCCTTCTCTAACCTACGAGGCCACCACAGGCCTAAATCCAATGAGTGGACGACAACTATCTTTACTAATGGCGATAGGCACCCCTATCTCCTCACATGTGTTAAATTGTTTAGGCTCTTAATGTTTCTTAGCCAATGAGAATCATTCAACCTGTAAGCAATGACGTAGCTTAGACCTTGGAAATGGTATAACTGCTGTGATCTTTGTAACTGTAAGCGGGGCGGCCTACGAACTCCTGTGTGAGTCTTGAAGCTGACTTCTGCTGATGAAAATGCAAACTATCTTCAGTAAAACTTTTCTTTAATTTTTTATAATTCTGACTCCGGGTCTTCATTCTTCATATCTGGTTCTGGGTCTTTGACTGTATACCCCTTACAGAGCTCTTCAAAGTCCTCCTTTTGAGCCTCCGTCGACAGTAGAGCTTAATATCTTGTCCATTAAGACAGCCCTCCTGTTAGCATTGGCTTCTTTCAAGAGGGTCGGGGATCTGCAAGCATTTTCGGTCGACGAATCGTGCCTGGAGTTCGGGCCGGCCCTTTCTCACGTTGTGTTGAGACCCCGGCTCGGATATGTGCCCAAGGTTCCTACCACTCCCTTCGCGGACCAGGTAGTGAACCTGCAAGCGCTGCCCCTGGAGGAGGCAGACCCGGCCCTAGCTTTTCTCTGTCCCATCCGCGCTCTGCGGGTTTATATCGACACAACGCAAAGCTTCAGAACCTCAGATCAGCTCTTTGTCTGTTACGGAGGCCAGCAGAAGGGGAAGGCCGTCTCCATGCAGAGGTTAGCCCACTGGCTAGTGGATGCTATCACCAGAGTGTATGAGTCTCTGGGTGAGCCTTGTCCTCCCAGGTTGCGCGCTCACTCTACTAGAGGTGTTGCCGCTTCCTGGGCTTTGGCTCAAGGCGCCTCGCTGACAGATATCTGTAGAGCTGCGGGCTGGGCGACACCTAACACGTTCGCTAGATTTTATAGCCTCCGTGTTGTATCTGTTTCCTCCTGTGTACTCGCTACGGCCAGTAGCGCGAGGAATTAGGTATGTCTGCTTGCTACGCCATTCCCGCCCCAGGGGCCGGATACGTGCGTCTTTTTTGCTCCGTTGGTTCCCCAACAAACGGTTAACCTCGTGAGTTCCTCCATCACCCCTCCGGCGCCAGGCGAGGCGGATCGCCCGGCGCCAGGTCTACTACCTCTCGTGTGAGTTGTTATTAGACTGGGTGGCCTTACAGTGGTCCCTACGGTGACCCATTTTTTCCACGTTCCAGCTACCCTCCGGGTTAGCGCCGTGTCTTTCCCTCGACAGACCTGTTTTGTCGTCCCTGCTGAGTACGCTCCCACCCCTCGGGCTGGGACTACCTCAGGGACTGCCGTATGTTTCACTACTCTACGAGTTAGTACGTACGTGTATTCCAGTGCCTCCCTTTGGGCGGGCAGGGGCTCTGCAGCGTTCCCTCCTACGGGGCACGCTTCCCCAGTGTTATCCAAAATCCACTGAGCGGGTCTTGCGGAACAGCAGTGTGACTCTTCCTAGCTAGCTCCCGCCGTAAAGAAAACTAAGAAACTGCTTAGGCGGGTAGATAGGGTGGGCGCTGGAAGGGGCCAGCACCATGGCGTTTTATTAGGGATCCCAATTCGTTGGAAACTCCTCCGACGAGACGTAGGAGTTCCCTAACGAAAGGGAACGTCTCGGTTACGTATGGTAACCCTCGTTCCCTGAGTAGGGAACGGAGACGTCTCGTCCCGTCGCCATGCTTGCTGTACCTTCGCGGAGGACTTGACACCATCCGGCTCCTCAGCGTAAAGCATATGTGTGTGCGCTCGCTTCCGCTTAATACCCGCACTGGCAGGCGGGGCGCGGAATGCAAGTCTTGCATGCCAATATTCATTGGCTCGTTTTAATTCACTCGAAGGCAATTGGTCTCCCTAGCGTGATCCCAATTCGTTGGAAACTCCTCCGACGAGACGTCTCCGTTCCCTACTCAGGGAACGAGGGTTACCATACGTAACCGAGACGTTTTCCTCTGCACTGTAAAACATATATATTTTTAATGAATTAAAACAACAATTCACAAATCGTTTGCTAAACACATATATAAATAACTAGTGTCTTCATATTCTGTTTTCGCTGGAGAAAAACAATAGTGTGATGAGTGAGTGATTCGTAAACGCAGTGGAAAGTGCTGTGCGGTCGGTAGCGTACCCCACGCGTTATAGCCAGATAAATTAAAAACACAAGGAGCAACTTCATGCTTAAGTTTGTTGGTGCGGCGAATGACTAAATTGCCCGAATCAAAGGTATTTTCCTCAATGTAATCTTCCTCCAAAAAATGTTCACTGCATACTCATGACATCAGCGCCCATTCTTCTTGTTCTTCCTTTTCATTGCCGCTAGCCAGTGAAGCAGTAATGTTACGTTCCCTGTTTTAGTTATCTTTTGCCCTTTGCTTTAACACTGTAAAAATAATTTCTACAACCAGGAGCAATACAGTAGTGCCCCTCCTTTTGACTTATGATGTGGCTTTCCAGTTGTTTCCATCTTTAAATGTCTCTTGTCTTTAACTTTCCCTGTCAGTCCTCTACTATGTACCTCAGGCAAGACAACCAACACTGTGACGTCACGCACTGTGAATGTGTATTGCAAGATGGCGGCGCCCTTGCTCCAAAAGACGCCCTTGCGCCATTTCATTCCTAACCAACGTCCAGTTGGAAACCGGAAGAAAACTTGAGAGCGTTTGAACAACCGAACGCACATCTCCAACCCATATTGCTCTGTTACGTGTCAATGTTCGCTTTGGCCAGGTGGTATTTATATCATAGGGGGCGGGACGTTTCAGATTCTAGAGAGCATTTGATTGGACAGAAGATGTGATGAGAAGCTGAAGTCCGCAGTGATGTCATAAAAATCCATGATCCATTTTAGCGGAAGTGAGAGACTGTAAGTTTCGAATGCTTATATCTCCTAAATGTGAATTTTGTCATTTGTTTTGGAACACACCAGCTTATTCATAACCTTAAGGCTAACATATTCATATTCATAATAAATTTTTACTTCAGGGGGCCTTTAAGTGGGTTAAGAAATAACGGTCAAGAAAGTGTACTCTCTTTAAAGGCACAATATGTAAGACTTTTGATTAAAATATCCAAAATCCACTAAAACAATATTATATATTTTGAAGACTTGTGTACTTTTTCAAAATGTTTCAAACAATGTTTAAATCCAGAGAAATATAAATTTTTAACCAGTGTAATAATGGCCAGTGCCATTGCGTAGCCTGTCAATGTCATTTCCGCCTTACCCTTGATTTCCTGCTTTACTTCTGTAGAAATTACAGTAGTGTAGTAACAGTAATACAGCATTTTCTATACAATACATTTAAAAACTAATTGCATATCGAGCTAGCTTACCCCACAATTTTAATTAGCCAAATAAAGTGACCTATATGAGTAGTAATTCGTTTCATTAGAATTTATTAAAATAATGTGAATTTAAGTGATCAAACGTAACTGTAACAAAGTTCAAGTTCATGGAAGGAGGAGGCGGAAACTGGCAAATGTTAAACATTACCTTAAAAATGAAAATAAAATATAGAGCGGCAGCGACCGGCTGCGGCACATAAACATAATAAAAGCTCCAGAGCTCCTCCATGGGACTCGAGGCCGGTGTGTCATGCAGGTATCTGTCTCTTATTAACATTCGCTCCACTGGCTTTCCGTGTTTTCACTGTTATATGGTAGGTGGCGCTATTACACATCTTCTGAAAGAGTACTGAATCTCCTGATCAAAACCGATGCGAAGAAGATGCAGAAACAAGCGATATGTAATCATATGCATATGCAAAATAATGCGATCACCAACATTAAACAGCATTTAAATCAAAACGGCCTAATATTACTGAATGAAATATCGACCCAGGATGAGCAACAGGACTGTACAAGCATTCGGGGTGTTGATGGACTCGATCTACTCCATCTATGTTCTGATCATTGTTCTGAATCCAGTCTTTGACAAAAACGCGATTTTCTCCATTTTTTTGCTCAAAATGTTGCATTTTTTATTAAACTTCCCCACATTCAAGTGTTGATAAAAAAAGAATGCATGAAGCTAAAATGAACATGGAGCTTAAAAGCAGATGGTCTGTTCTTTCTTTTGATGTATTGCATGTTCAGATATTCATACAACAAAATATTCTGGGGGCCATGAAATCTTTGTCCTTTTTTTTTTGCTCATAATATTCTCTGCAAGTACATCCTTTTAAAAATATACTTACACTAAATGTAGAACAATTCAGTGCATCATGACATAGTTTGAATTGATTTGATATTATCATGAAAACTGAAAGTTTGCCAAAAGAAACTTTGAATGTTTTCTTAAAAAAAGCTTTGTCTGAATGTTTACAAAAGCCTTGATGTCTTATGGTTATAAAGGCCTAATGTAGTTTGAATATATGAAAACCTCAGAGAGAGACAGGCCGATAGATAGACAGACACAGAAAACAGACAGACTAACCAGAGTTTGATGCATGTAGCTTGAAAGCTTTAGGAGTTTGGCAACAGATGAGGCTTTAATCTGATATAATGACACATACTGTACGTGTCACAGTCATATAGCACTGACCTGGCAGCAGTGGCTTCAGTCCAAAAGGGCCTCTGGACGGGGAAATGCCACGAACAATACAGTCAAACAGAAAACTGATATGCTCGCCCTCGGCACAAGACAAGAAGAACACGCCAGCCCCTACACACAAATACACACAGATGTTAAAGGGAGAGAATCCTGTCATTCTCTGGGTATGTTGATTTTAATTACAATGAGAGCATATGAGTGGAGTGGAATGGGGAATGGTCATATTTCCTCCGGATCGGAGAGCGCGCTCAGTCCCCTAAAATACTGTATATAGATGGTCGAAAACATTTTTAGGCACGCTACCCAAAAAATAAAAAATAAAGACAGAGGCCAGATATCAAAGAACCGTACATACTGTATGTGAGTTCATCTTTTGTGCTGTGCATTAGGGAATGTAAATAATCAGATTAATGAAAATTGCATGTAGACAGGAGTTTGCTTGTGTCGTGTAAACATCTTGCTGCGATTAAGTCCTTACTCTGATTATTGGAAATAATCATATTACTGGTGCACATGTAAATGTAGTCATTGCTGGTCCCTCTTTTTATTTTAACTGAAATTAAGTTGAACTGAAGCTTTAAAAAGGACACTAAAGCATTATAAAAGTAGCCCATATTCACTATATTACAGGTGTCCTGGAGTCATTTGATAGCTATGTGTGCAAAAACAAATTTACCCAAAACAGGGAATTTTAGTTCCAATCCTGATTGACTTTTCTTTTGTGTTTTCGGTTGCAGAGATTAAGCCGACGATGCTGACTCATCATCTCAGCAGTAGTGGACGCGATATTGCATATCTATGGATTACATAATCTGAGAATATTTGTTTTCCAATAGAATTGCTTGACAATCGCTTGACATTTCAAGATTTTTATAGACATATTTATCATGTCTGTGAGGCAAGTATACGCTGAATTTTGGTTTATATTTTGACATGCTCAAGTTCACAGAAACCGAGGTGGCAGAAAGCACATCCTGTTTATTGTCTTTATTTTACAAAGGCACAACATTTTCTTTTTATTGTGAGTTTACACAAATAAAAGTAGACCCTTTACAGTTTATGTATTCCTCTTATCTGTATGACCAAAAAGTAGGCTATTTTAAGTAGTTTCGGCTGTTGTCAGGAAAAAATGCAACGTGATCGTGCCGGCACCTCTATCTCAAGCATTAAATGTGCTATACTTTAGCTTCCAGACTCTGCACAAACACTTGGATATGTGCCAAATAATAGCGCACATTTATCTATTTTATATTAAAGGGATACTTCAGGATTTAGCATTAAGCTTTGTATTAGTAGAAAACCTGTAGTTTTTTCAAATTACCATACTTTCCACCCTCATATCCCCCTGAGACGAGAGATTTATATATTTTTTGTCTGGAAAAAATCCTTTTTTGGATTTTTTGGCCAGAGGCTAAAGACTACAGTCAGTAGTAAGGGCTGTTCCGCATGTTTTCAATCCGCCCATAGAGGGTGGGATCTCACTCACAGAATGTACACATAGTGTCAGCCATCTTTTTTTGGAAGCTAAGCTAGCAGGCTCTTGTTCTGTGGAGAAAGCTGAGTAGTAGGGGTTGCCATCCTCTTTTTCCCGGACATGTCCGGCCGTCGATGTCCGGGATTCAGCTTTTGCTTTCTGCAGTCGCCATTCATTGTTTACATGCACACCTTTTGTTTCAATCTAACTGAATTCATTCCATTGGTGAATCTGAATGTAGTGTTTACATGAACGCTAAACAAGTGATCGGTTGATGCGCGTTTTAACATTGCTAAGAAAATTCCCGCTCCTCCGTGAGAGATACGAGACCGGCGCGTCTCACAGGTGTCGCTCATCGGTAATCACGCCACCGGCCTCGTGCAGTTCTCCCGCGGCCCTAGCCTCGTCCTGCTCTCCACAGTAAACATAATGGCTGTGTCCGAAATCTCCACTCAAACCACTACTCCCTAACCCCTATGTAGGGGGTAGGGAGTAGAGCACTATATAGTGAGCTCACCAGCATAATAGAAACACCATTTTCGGACACTACTCGATCGTCTCTCGGCGCCGTTGATTAAACGCGCCATCATCTGTCAGCTGGTGCCGAGTCATTTCTGGCCGTTTCTGTTATAATGCGTTACTCCACACATGATTATAACTTATAAACATAAGTAAAATTAATACACATATTTCATATATTTTCATTTTCGCGCCACACCGTTTTCTCTTGCCTGTCGACATTAGGGGAAAAAAAACAGATCTACGTTATCAAATATCTTGCTCATAATACTCTTAATAAAACAGCTTTTAGACTCTGTGGAGATGCCACTCAATATTTATCTTTTTTGTTTGTTTGTTCTCGTGATTCAGAAGATTTTGCGGATTAGCAAAAGAAACAGGATTTCTAGACACAGAAAACGACATGCTGTTCTTGCTACGCTAGCGAGACCTCGTCAAATTGTAAGTTAAAGATGAAGATGATGCTGATAGGTCTTTTACGATCAGCGCAATGCATGATGGTATGTAGGGCTTGGGTTAGTGACCATCGGTTGTACACTACTTTTCAAAATGCATTCTGGGATACATTGAGTGGACTATATAGGGTATAATAATCATCACTATACATTCGGACAGCACTACAAAATGGCGAGCTCACTATATAGTCCACTATACAGTGAGTAGTGGGAGATTTCGGACACAGCCAAAGAATGGCGACTGTAGAACGCAAAAGCCAAATCCCGGACATTTTGGGCGATCTCGAAACACTTTCTGGCAGACTCATCACAGAGACTCACTAGTAGCCTAGACTTGTTGTTTAACTACTGCGCTCTGTTACCGGTAGGCGTGGCCTCCTAGGGCAGCGAAGCAAGTGCATTCTGGGAGTTGTTGTCTTTCATCCACATAAGCCAAAAATACATTTTCTGGCTTTTCTCAGTCTAGAAAGCTCCAATTTCAAAAATAATTTCACATTTCTTCTACATAAATGACCCATTTTAAATACACATTCATCTTTCCAGAAGTGAAGTATCCCTTTAATAAACCAATAAAGTTGACGATGCTAACAACAAGCTTTCAATAGATGCATTTCTCATGTCTGTGAGGAAAGTTCATGCTAAGTTTCGGTTTATTTGTTGATGCGCTCCAGTTCACGGAGACAGAGACGGCAGAAAGTGCATCCTGTTTGTTTTCTTTATTTTATAAAAGCGCTTTTGTTTATTTTCATTAGTTCTTATTGTGAGTGCACACAAATACAATTTGTCAGATTCGAATGTTGTATTAGGCTACTCTTGATGTAAGACCAAAAAGGAAAAAGGAAAAAAAAGTTAAATGCAAGTGATCGCGCCGGTGACGGTCAGGCACCAAAAACGCTGTGTAAATTGTGAAAATGAACTTCCAAAACGCATATAGTCTTCCGTTTTTAGTTGAAAACGGTGTCATGTAAACGGCCCCTAATAGGGGGCAGCCCTAATTTTCACTGCTACTAAATCCATTGTTAGACGTCCGTTCTTCAGTCACGATGTGGTTTAAGCAGGATAGAATAAAATGCAGGATTTAATTGCAACAGTTAATTTATTTTCCAGAAATCTAAATAGTAACAAACTTAGAATAAACACAGAAACAGAACAACCCACTTAATCATGATGAGAACGGACAAAGACTGAATTAAAACCAAGGCTATGAATACATAGGCAAACTAATCAACAGAATTGACATCAGGTGCAAATCACAGTTAAATCAATGAAACACCATAGAACCAAACTCATAGAACCAAACTTAAACACAGGAGACTGAACTGAAACATGTATCAAACCCACCCAAAACCAGAAAATAACACAGATTACCCATTACACTTAGCCTGACGTCGTCATACTCAGATTCCAGTCAGAAGAATATGAGTCTGATACTGCTCCATTGGGCTGTGATTATGGGGCGTGTTTCAACCGAACCAGGAAAGAAAATGCCTTTGGACTCAATTGGATCGACAAATGCCTTGATCGCGGTTCTCTGTTCCAATGAATGCGCTGTCTACATCTTCTATAACAGACGCGATGGCTGAATCTACACATCTAAATTCTCCAGCGGCAGCCATTCTTTGTTGTAAAAGAATTCAACCCAAGCGCTTACGGTTGATCATCTGTCCATCATCGTATAAAGCCCGCCCTGACAATTTGATTGGTCCGAACAGCTTTGGTTCGGGCATACTTGCTTCACAAAGGATCAAGTCCAGACCGAACTTCCCATCCTCAAATGTTGTGGGCGGGGCTAAGTGCAGCTGGCATCCAGGCTACATTACACTATGATTCCATGATTCTTTTAAATTGCATGTTATGAATATGAATATCAGAGTACGTTTTTGCTGACAAAGATCTAAAATGTGACTCCCCATCCTTCTTTTGAACTATGAAGTACCGGCTGTAAAACCCACTGTCTCTTCCAGGAAGACATTCTATGGCCTTTCACCAAGAGAGATTGAACCTCCTGTTCCAGCACCTGAGTCTGATCGGGGCTGACATTGTAGATAGGACCCTGTTGAGGTGGATGAGAACCAAACTGAATTATCCTCAGAATTAAATGTAGCCATAATCCACCAGACAAGTGAAAACGACCTGGATAACAGACTGAACATCATATTATTATATATTAAATTATTACAGCCATCTAAACTCCTCAAAGCCAGATGACTATTTCACCATTTAAATTCACAGAATCAAATGCAGCCAAAAAACAACCAGACAAGTGAACACGGTCTGGATGATAGGCTGTACACACTACGTTACCATAGACATCCAAATCATCACTGATCCACCCCGTGCTTCACTCTAGGCAGCAACAGTCCGGGTGTCAAGCCTCTGTCAAGAGGCTTTTTCACACCGTAACTCCCACGGATGTGAGAAAGACAGTGAAGGTGGACTCATCAGAGAACAATGCATGTTTCACATTGACCAAACCCAAACATTTGCACTTGGCACCACTTAAAGAAACACAATGAAACTAAACTTTACTTGTCACAAAGCAATGGACCATGATAACTAACCAAACCTTGATTACTTGATATTGCATTTTATTAAAAAGCTAAAAATAACGAGCCTTGTCATTGTTATATCGACATACTCACAGTAACCACAGCGTGTTCCTCCCTCAAACACAAAGCCGTTGTTGACCGGCCCGTATCGCCGCAGGTCCAGCAGATCCCAGTGGCCAATGATGACGGCCGGCAGGTCTTTAGCGATGACCAGGACATTGTTGCATAAATGCAGAGTCGCCGCTCCGCTTTCCAATTTAGTGCCGGGCAGCACGGAGACGCTGAAACTGTGGACTGACAGAAGAAAAAACATGATTTTCCTGTACCAATCATTCAGATACAAATAAACAATAAACTGGAACTGAAGGAAAAGTACAGTAAGTGGTGTATTCCTGTGCAAAACTCACAATATGTTAAGAGTGTGGTTACCAAGGTGTTATGGGTGGTGGCTATGTGACTTCTATGTACCGGTAGGTACTAGTTTCTAAATCATTCTGGGTGGTTGCTTGGGCATTGGTGGTTACTAGGGTGTTCTGGGTGGTTGATAGGTGGTTACTAAGGTATTATGTGCGGTTGATATGTGATCACTAAGGTATTCTGTGTGGTTGCAAGGGTGTTGCTATGTGGTTTCTAGGACATTCTGTGTGGTTGCTTGTTGCTTACTAGGGTATTTTGAGTGGTTTCAAAGGCGTTGCTAAGTGGTTTCTAGGACGTTCTGTGTGGTTGCTAGTTGGTTACTGAGGTATTTTGTTGGATCCAAGGGCATTGCCAGGTGGTTACTAGGGTGTTCTGGGTGACTTCTGGTTGTTAGAACGGTGCTAGGTGCATTCTAATGTATTTTGGGTGGTTTCTAGGGTATTGCAAGGGAGTTGCTAGGACTTGCTAGGAAAGTTATTTTGGGTGTTTGCTAGGACAAGGTGGTTTCTAAGGCATTGCCAGGTGGTTGCTAGTTGACTGCTAAAGAATTCTTGGTGGCTGCTAGAGTATTTAGGGTGGTTGATAGGTGGTTACTGATATTCTGGTTGTTTGCAAAAACATTGCTAGGTGGTTTCTAAGGAATTGCAAGGTGCTTGTTAACTTAGGCCAGGTGTTCTGGGTGGTTGACAGATGGTTGCTATGTATGTTCTGGGTAGTTTAAAAAGTTTTCTAGGCGGTTTCTCCAGCATTGCAAGATTGCTGCTTGGGTGTTCTGGGTAGTTTTAAGGGCATTGGTTGTTTCTGAAGTATTCTGGGTGCTTGTAAGTTCAGGACTCTATGATATTCTGGTAACTAAATATAGCCTGGGTCACTTTTTTAATGTATTTTAGCTTTATTTATACTCATAATTGTATTATTCATTTATATTCATCAAGTGTAAATCATAAGTCTTAGAAATGTCGTAGTTCAGGGTTTGTTTAAATCTCCGATCCAACATATGAACGATAGTACATGTAGGTTACACCTTGCCTTAACAAACAGCACTAACTAGAAAGCTCTGGTAAGTGTTCCTGATGCTAGGAATGTCACAATCTTACTTTGGTCTGTGCAGTAAATCCCATCTAGTAACAGCTTCTCTCTGTGTGTGTAAAATGTGATGAGGGAATGCAGGCAGGGTTAAACCTGTTAGCACTAACTTTGAAACAGATTTATGAGGGTATGCAAATAAAAAAGCAGCTACACACACACACAAACAAACAGACACACACACAGCTGACTGCATCACATGCCTGCTCACAACTACAAAGAGTTCAAGCACATACACAACAATCATGTCAATCAATCAAATGTCTTTGGGTAGCTGATGCATAATGCGCCTTGATGTTGGTATCAACATGAAAACGTAGTTAAAATGTACATGAATGTGGAAACGTATATGCTTTAAATTATCTAACTGGTCAAGTGTCTCACTATATCGCCTACCTCAATGTAAATGGTCCTGCGTCTGTGTGACAAATTATTTTTTTTAATCATTTGATTAATTTATATTTATAAATACAATTATAACACTTACAAGACACCCTAGTCTTCAGTGTCACATGATCCTTAAGAAATCATTCTAATACAATAATTTGGTGTATTTTATACTATTACAGTAATGTAATATTAAAATTAAGTTTAATTATTCCATGTTGTCTCCGAATCGATATGAGCTCATAAAGCTGCATACGTTACAAATATATAGATTTAATAAAATAGATTTAATGTTAAACATTTAGCAACTACCTAAAACTATAAAACGATTTGACTAAACTACCACTTTATCATGGAAACAGATACAGATAGCGGTGAGCTATTATCTCCTCGCCATCGGTCATTGTGTTGACTAACACATGTAAGTGACTGTTTTATGGGTTAAATGTTGAACTCTGACCTTCCCCGAGGCAGTAGCGCAGTCGCAGGTCCCAGCTCTGCAGCGCCTCCCTGCTGTCGAAGCCGAGCACGGCGGTTTGACTGAGACACAGGATTGAGAGGATGAAGGGAACGCCGTCAGCGCTGACACACGTCTCCAGACCGCAGATGTGCTCCAGCGTCACGCTGCTCCTGTCCTTCACACCGCGCTCCTTATACACGTACAGCACCAAACAATCTGACAAACACACATTAGCTTTCATAAAGGACATGTCTAGGTCTGAAACGTCCACTTGACTTTAAAGACAAAGACATGACTTTCATTTAGTGGAAAAGTTTTCAAATATAATCATATTTTAGCATAGCACTGCTTATTGTAGAAATAATACGAAAAAAATCATCGACTTTAAATCATCACTTTAAATCCATAGTTACCTTCTAAATAATTTTTTTAAGAGTTTCATCACTTTAATGGATATTTTTCGGTGTGTTTTATGAGGACATTTGTCTTATTTAAGCTGTCGATTATTTACTTTATGCCCCTAGGAAATTTAAAGTGAGTTTTAATTTAGAAATGAAAAAACATAATAGAATAGAAATGTTATGTCACTGTATGTATGAAATACATTTTAATGTATTAATAGATCCAGAAAATATAAAGTCCTGCCTTTGACCCAGCTACAGCATTTGAGCTCATTCGGTTTTTGAACACGGCCCTGATTTTTTGTTGTGGTTGTTGTTGTTTTTGAAAGAAAGTAATACTTTTATTCAGCAATGATGCATTACATCTATCAAAATAAACAGTAAAGACGTTTTAATGTTACAAAAGATTTATATTTCAAATAAATGCTGTTCTTTTAAACTTTCTATTCATCAAAGATTCCTAAAAAAACAGTTTCCACAAAAATATGAAGCAGCACAACTGATTTCAACATTGATATTAAGCAGCAAATCAGCATGAATTGAAGACTGAAGTAATGATGCTAAAAATTCAGCTTTGATCACTGGAATAAATTAAATTTTTAAAATATATTACAATAGAAAACAATTATTTTAAGAGAATTATTTAAATAATATAAAAAATCTTACTGACCCGGTAGTGTAGTGTATCATGTGCCATTGTACCATTTATAGGTCTACTACAAACTGTAAACATATTTAAACGTGAATAAAGAGGTACATGTAGAGGTGCATGTCAAAAAAACAATTCTTATATCCCCTGAAAGATGTAGCCTAGGTAGGTCAAACTTGATTCCTGCTACTACGAAAGCAAACAAACAAAACAACCTTTGGCATGTCACACACACACATACACACAGTGTGAACAGCTGTACAAATGTCTTTCCGCACACATTTCTGCTCTCACAGCTGATCTACTGCAATAGAAATCTTCACTGCGGCAATAAAACATACTCCAGCGACGGCAAGACATTTCAATGAAGCAAGAGTGCTGTTGTACTGAATAGCGAAACATTCCAGTGCGGTTATATGAAACTCCTGGAACGCAAATTAGTAAACCTGAATTAACAGTCGTGAAGTCTGTATCCTACATTATATAGCCTATAATGCCCATATAGCGTATGTATGATGTGCAAAAAAGACCAGCATATTTCAAGAAAAAAAACAAGCTGTTCATCCATGCTCTCTGTAAAACATGCATGTAACTCACACACCTTATTATAGATTAAAAACTCAAAAGTCAGCTTCATCCATGAACACTAACGTTCATAGTGTTTATCTGTCTGTATAGATCACAGCAAAACACAAGAGAAACTCCTTTAGGTTGATTTATAAGCTTCCAACAGAATATTAAGTCTAGTAACAAAATAAGGAATAGATGATTAGCCTATATTAAATGTTATTCTGTTCTATAGCACCATTACATTATTGTATTCTAACAAGTATTTGTAATATAATATAATGTTGACAATATTAACGTGTTGCCATATTATCACGGTGATATTTGATAAATCTAAATCTATAATTATATTTTGTTACAATTTAATAAAAACTCTACTATGACTTCACAGTGAACTAGAAATGATTATGTAGCAGCACCACAACGATCATCTGTTTCACAATAAATGCTTGTATAGGCTATTTACAGATTAACTGCAAGCGTGATGTCTACAGTAAGTTATGCTAAGTAAGTTATATTTCTTTCTGTTTGCTGGTTTATAGCTGTTGTCGTTGTGATAATGTTGACAATGTTCAGTTTATTTTCATATATTAAAGTACATGTTACTTTCATATTTGTTAATTGTCGCCACGGTTGAGTTTGTGTTGCTGTGAAGTGATCATGATAACTGACCTGCGACCGGTGAGGGTTTGCGCAGAACCAGCCAGCGGCTCCTCCACTGCGAGAGAGAAGTCAAACCAAACCTTTACAGACAACCACTCATGAACAAATTATACAGACATACAGCTCACGCGTGCGATTTCCATACTTTTTTGCCGTCTCTGATTTTTGCGGCTCCCTCTGCTACCACGGTATCACTCATCTTCCTCACATGACAGCTGCGCGTGCGCGCGCCCGCACGGCTCACTTTCAAAATAACGCCAGAGCGAGCGACCCGCTGCCTCAAGCACGCGCCCAAATAGGCCATATGTCAGGGGTCAGTCAAAGGTTACTGTGTCGGTACGGAACAATTATTTTAGGTCAAACATAATTAACCCTTAGCCGACATGCATTTATCATGCATGCAACCCTTACAAAATTTGTCATGTTACAAATGTGACGTATCTAAAAGTAACTAATGAACCTATGATCTTAAATATTTGTCAGATCGGTAGTGTAGTCACATTTATCTGCACACAGTTCTAAACAATCACTAAGGTACCCATTTGGGTAATTTATTTATTTTTTATTTTCACCCCAAACTGAAAAAAAGATATAGCCTACATATCTTGCCGATTTGATATATTAATATCTATCATGACCTGGACATGTTCTTGATAGATAGTTTTAGATCTAAAAACATTTTTAAAATACTTCATGCAGATTAAAAGACACATTTAATTCACAGCAATCAACTTAATTTATTGATATGCAAAAAAATAAAATAAAATAAAATATATAACAAACTTATTACAGTGTGTACATGTCACAATATTGCTTGTTAATATAAATACAATAGCATTAATAACACTTAAGTTCATTAGTATTACTCAGTAACATGAACACTGTAATGGAAAGTGTAAACTAATACATTAATAATAAAGTCACAGTTGATTTATGGGTTGTCTTTGGCATTGATTCCCGATGGAAATGTTTATCTTTATTCTGTTAGCTGATGTTGTTTTCCTGGATCTTTTGATGACGCTGTTTATCCAGTCAGAATATTTGGGCACGAGGGTATAAACGCCTGGTTTTCCTGACCGTCCACATCCGTCCCCCCAACTGATGATGCCGTAAAGGAAACTCACACCGTCACACTCACATGCTAAAGGACCGCCGGAGTCTCCCTAAAAAAAATTACATCACACACACTAAAAAAGATACATATGGCAAATTTTTCAATGCTTTTTAATTGATTCAATGCAAAATGGTTTCTGTCACCCTACTCAGCAAAAATCATAAAATCTTTTTTTACTCAATTTCAACCATTAGCAAAAACTGTGACACTTACAATAAGGTCTCATTAGATAATGCATCATCTAACATTAACTAACAAGAGCTAGGCATTTGTTACAGTTAACATTTAGTAAATAAAAATATACAGGTGTACATTGCTAGTTCATGCTCATTAAAGGGATAGTTCACCCAAAAATGAAAATTCTGTCATCATTTACTCACCCTCAAGTTGTTCCTAACCTGTATAAATGTCTTTGTTCTGCTGAACACAAAAGAAGATATTTGGAAGAATGTTGGTAACCATACATATCTCAGGTCCCATTGACAACCATAGTAGAAAAATACTATGGTAGTCAATGGGGCACGAGATCTGCTTGGTTACAAACATTCTTCCAAATATATTCCTTTGTGTTCAGCAGAACAAAGACATTTATACAGGTTTGAAACAATTTGAGAGTGAGTAAATGATGACAGAAGTTAAATTTTTGGGTGAACTATCCCTTTAAAGGGATTTTATAAAAAAAAAAAGATCTTAATTTGTCTTTCGAAGATGAACAAAAGTCTTACGGGTTAAGAACGACACAAGGGTGAGGTTTTTTTTTTGGAGGGGGGTAACTAACCCTTTAATACATATTAACAGATATGATTTTTGATTTTAGTAATAGTAACAGATACAAATTTTGATTTTAATAATAGTAAATGTTGAAGCCGGACAGTAATGGAGTACATTTACTTGAGTACAGTACTTAAGTACAATTTTGAGGGATCTGTACTTTACTCGAGTATCATTTTTGGGGAGTACTCATGACTTTACTCAAGTACATTTGAGAGGCAAATATTGTACTCTTTACTCCAATACATTTCTATCCATAACCGTGAGTATCCGAGTAAAAAAAAAAAAAGTAAAAAAAAAGAAAAATCTCGGAAACCCTCAATTTGTTGTTTCCCTCTCAAACGTGATTGGATTGTGCAGGCGCCACTGATTGGGACAGCCTATCAGCAATCACATTCAGCTTTCCGCCAAAGTCAACTCCATGGTCAGATTTTATATTACACATTAATGTAAGCCAAGCATTTGGTTTGATGTTCTTGAGGATGTGGTGTGTTTAACACAGTCAGGTTCAAATGTGGCAGTGGCGTAGCCACGAGGGATTTCTGATTTCTTAAAAAAAAAACTTTAGGAGGCAAAATATATTTTTACTGATTATGCGAATTACACTGCGCAAACCAAAGTAGGCTACTACCCAGCGAATGAAGAAGGGTTGGCGCTCAGTCTCCACAGTACATAAAATATTAATTTTGTTTTATTTTATTTTTCGGGTTTGCATTTATGAGGAAAAAACAATGTTATGGACGTGTTCTCCGTTACGGACGTGAGCGCTCTGAAAGCGGCATAAAAAATGCTTTAAAACTTTCACAGAGACATCAAACAGAAAACACAAAACCTTTCTTTAACCGGAATTTCGTTTTGCATTAATTGTATCTTAATTTTAATCAATGTTTCATCAACCAATTGCCTGGGTTTAATAAATAAGAAGTAAATAGCAGACGATAGATAAGAAACGGAGGCGCCGGCACGTGAACTGGATCTCGTCTCATAAATGAACCGAAACTCAGTGTATAAGGTAGCCTACTTGCCTCTCACAGACATGTCTACTTTTAAACAGAAAAAATCAAAACGAAAGAAAACAGACTACAGACTGCTCTCTGCTTATGTAATCCGTATGAAATGTGCATTTCTCTCTGGCGCGTTAACTACTGAAGATCGCAAGTCAGCATCGTCAACTTCATCTAGCCGACACTGACAAAGGAAACACTTGTTTATTAACAAGTGTTTATTAATAAACAATTTAAATATCTCCTTGCTATATTTTACATATTCATAATCATTCCTTTTGCCGGTTCTTTGTGACAGCTTTTAGGTGCTTTATTGGCAGCGCCTCCCTTACATGTGGTGTGTGTGTGTGTGTGTGTTGTCCCCACATTTAAAGATGGGACCCCCCAAAAATTTAATTAAATTAAATAAAGCAACATGGTAAAAAGATGAAAATGACTTGATTTTACTTTCAATTCCTTTTACATTCTCCAAGGTATTAACATTAACATTTTTCATAACTCCATGTAGGACGTTTCTGTGCATAAATGTAAGCACTGTGGCAGTAGTAATGCAATATTTAGAAAATCTACTCTTGTACTCTTGATACTCAAGTACTTTTAAAAACAAGTACTTTAGTACTTTTACTTAAGTAGACATCTGAATGTAGTACTTTTACTTGTACTTGAGTAAAATTTAGCAAGGGGTATCTGTACTTTTACTCAAGTAACAAAGCTCTGTACTCTGTCCGCCTCTGATATTAGCTAAGATTAATACATGCTTTAGAAGTATTTTTATTATCTAATGTTACTTTACTGTAATGTGTTACTTTAAAAATGTGTATGTATATATCTACAGTCCATTTTGCAAGTTTACAAAATGTCAAATTTATGTTAAAAAAAGCTCAATTATTGAAAAGTAATATTGATATAGAATAAAGTAAAATAAAAAAAGTTAAACATTTAGACCTGCTTTATCAATGTCATTACTGTAAGACTGGAAAACTGGTTAAAGAGAAATTATCTGACCACTGGTCTCCGAAGACAAAGGACCTTGCTTGCAAATTAACATGTGAACAACTCTCTCACACACACACACACACACACACACACACACACACACACACACACACACACACACACACACACACACACACACACACACACACACACACACACACACACACACACACACACACACACACACACACACACACACACACACACACACAGCTTCCCCCCACTCTTGCAGATCACCTGAAACTCACATAAGAATATATGTATGGTTTTAATGTGAATGATTATCATTGAGTATTATGTTTGGTATCATTTTAAAGGTCTCAGGGTGGCTGGTTCAGATGTCTCATTCCAAATAAGTAAAACAAAAGGAAATAAGGTTTTTAGGAATTTAGGAATAACTGGCACACAAAAGAATGTGGTTTCTAGGCACTCCCAAAGGTGTAAATTCATGAATGCTAATTTCCACTGTTCTTAGCAAATGGTCAACTCCTAGCCCCAGTAAGTCTGGGGAGGGGACCACAGTAAATTACATATCAAAGGAGGTCTGGATATATAATGAAATGCAACGGAGAGTTCAGGGCTTTTTCTGTATTTCAGATAGCCCATGAGTTAGCTCATGTAGTTCTTAAATGTTGGGTTTGCATCTGTTTTCTCTTATCCTAGAGCATTTGATGTTTTGTATTGATGATATTTGAACTGATTATGAAATTGGCATAATACTTTTACCTGACATAATAAATTGTTATATTTGATTATTCTAACAGACTTTGATATTATTTTCATTGGAGATAAAAGAAACAGTCAAACATTAACGTATACTTAATGATGCACAGATATCATTGGAAAACACTTTCATTTATGGAGTCAGATGAAATGAGTTAATACATAAGACAAAATATATTACATTTAATCAAAAATCCCTTTGCCATTGGAAGAGACGGAACGCGCGTTGAGACCTTCACCGCTAATTTGAATGCCGCCCTTGGATCGAATTAGCAGGACTTACATTACCATGAAAAAAAGGGAAGATATATCATATTAGTGCTCAGTGATTTGACGTCTTACCTGGCAGGCGTCCACACAGGAGTCACTCCCGGCACACAGCATCCCCGACCGGACCTCTGATCCATACACTTCTGGACTCGAACACTGGTCAAACGGAATAATCTTCACCACTCCCTCGATCAGGTCTGAATATGAGTTTGCCTCTAAACAGACACACACAAGTTACTTTCAATTTTATGCAGATCATGATTAATTAATGTTTATAAACTAAATTCAAATGGAAAAAAAGTTGACAAATTCGGTTCATTCTGATACATTTTTCAGAAAACAAGACAATATCTTAAGCCATTTAGCTTCTCAAGACAAACATACAGAGTAAGAAAATCTTTTTATAACCAAACTATCAGAATAATGCTGACCTCAAACAATTACAATGTGATACAGACATTATTTTACACACACACAAACACATACTGTAACATCTAATGACTTTATTCGACTTTACTGCTCTGCCTGACGTTCTAAGCTTGACGTCAACTAGACACTAATCATGGCCTACAGAGGGCGCGTCACGATAAGAAATCTTTGAAATCAACTTTTACGCTCCAATTCCAACAGTTAAAGTTAAACATATCCACAAAATATGTTTAATTATTCCATCTGGATGCTCAAAATTGATCAGTTGAATGCACGTTTTAACCAGCTTGTACACATAAGTTAATCGCTGGTCTAAACTAATGCGCTGCTGCATTGTAACGCACACACAGACAGACAATAGCTCGCACATCACATGCAGATCACGGACACAGAAACATTCAGTAGCGCAGATATGTATTGTCAACAGTGTTGAGGGTAACTCATTACAAGTAACTTAAGTTACGTAATCAGATTACTTTTTCAAGTAACTAGTAAAGTAATGCATAACTTTTTCAATTTACTACAAAAATATCTAAGTTACTTTTTCAAATAAGTAACGCTAGTTACATTTTCACATTTATTGACTGACAGCTCTCCTGTCCCCGTGTTGAGAGAAATAAAGTGAGGTGGTGTGTGCGCTGTGTCAACAACATGATGGTTATTTTAGTTCTAGACTAAATGTGAACATGCATTTACTCATCTCATTTGCACGAAAACATTCAGTATTCCTCAAAATGAATAAAAACAGTCAAATGCAATCATTTTATAATTAACTATATTAAATGACACACATATACTTTATGTATTTAATCTCACTTTATTAACCAATGTATTTGCTGCTGACCTTCAATGATCTAATTCAACCATACTAACAAGCAAAAATTACTTTAGATTTAGATTTTTCAGGTAGAATTTATTCACATCGTTCTCTCACTAATGCATTCATATAAATGTAATCTTTACTGTGCTACTTTATCTGTATCTGATTTAGAACGAACAAAAATCTGTGAGAAATATAACGACCCAAAGACAAAAGAACTGATCAAAATAAGCTGTTATGTAGGAGCAATAGCCTTATGGGGCGTGTCATATGCTATATCTGTGCACAAGGCAACCCGCGTTTGAGTCTCAGCTCGAGGTTCAGGCTTATTTATTAATGATGTCACATCGATAGTCACTTTAATCAGATAAATGTCGACATAAAAAAACTGAAGTTGTTCAACACACATATATATATATATATATATATTAGCTTTATTTAACTTTATTTGTTATAATTTTGATGATTATGGCTTACAGCTATGAAAACCTTTTTACAATATTCTAATTTTGAATTTGGGGTTTTCATAAGCTGTAAGCCATCAAAATTATAACAAATAAAGGATTGAAATATCTCACTTTGCCTGTAATGAGTCTATAAAATATATTAGTTTCAGCTTTTAAGTTGATTAACTGAAATAAATGAACTTTTGCACGATATTCTAATTTTTTTAGTTTCACCTGTATACTGTATATGTGTGTGTGTTCCAAAACACAGTGAGCTGCCTTGCTGTTTTTGTCTACATATAATCAGCATCTTTAGCATCATCATAGAAATCTTTTAAAAAATAATATTTTTTGAAAAAACAAAAACATGATTCACATCTACAAAAACTAAAATATATGAATACTAAAAATCTCTGTGAGTCATTGTTAGTCATACTCACTTTCACTCATATGACCCCAGCCCGAGATCTTACAGCAGAAGTGATCCGGGAACGTTGTGCCTTTCCCTGGAAGGCAGATCGGCCTGATGAAAGGTGTTTTCTGAGCGCAGCGTCCGTTGACCTTCTTCAGCTTCAGTAAGACTATGAAAACAGCTTTTATTACACACAAAACACATACACAACACACAAATGCATACTATCCGAATTGCAACGTCTTGGCAAGTTTTGCACAGGCAAAGGGCTTTCATAGTTTTTTATTTCTTTTGGAAAATACAAAAGATGAGTTTCATTTATGGACTTTTGGAGATAGGAATACTATTGAGAGAACAGGACATGGTGAGATTGGGAAATTACACTTTTCAAACAGCAAAAGTGCTGGTGAACAAGCATGTTGGAGCGTGTCTGTGTCACACCAGCCCACGTCTGCATCTGTATATGTTTAAAACGTATTTCCTTGGAAACTTTAAAAATCACAATTTGAATTTCCTCTGAAAATGTACAAAAACCTCAACTTGTATTTTATTTCTTGTTTGCATGGGCTTTTTGACTTATTAAAAGCAATACATATTTTTTACAGTGTACATATCAGCATTAATGAGAGCAAAGGAATAAAGTGTAAGACATACTAAAGAGTAACTATAAAGTATGTGTGGAGTTTTTCTACGTTGTGAACATAATGTCCCCACAAGGTAGTAATGTATTGATCTTGTGGGGGCATTTTTGGTCCATGAGGAAAACAGCTGATAAATCATACAAAACAAAAGTGATGGTTTTTTGTTTTGTTTTTTATGTAAAAATGCAAAAAGTTTTCTGTGATGGGTAGGTTTAGGGGTAGGGTTAGGTCTATGGGATAACATATATAGTTTTTACAGTATAAAAATCATTTTGTCTATGGAATGTCCCCATAAAACATGAAAACCCAATGTGTGTGTGTGTGTGTGTGTGTGTGTGTGTGTGTGTGTCCTAAACGTAGGTCTGTTCAGACATGTGCTTGGACTGAAATCTAAAGATTGGAACTATTTAACTGAACTTTAGTCCTGATTTTTGTTTAAAGCACTAGTTGTAAACACACACACACACACGTTAGATTTCTAAAGTTTCTAACATGTTAAAGTTTTTGTATGTGGAGTCCAGACTCACCAATATCATTTAAGGTCGGCTGGAACTGAGTATAACGAGGGTACAGAATATAGTCCTCAACACCAAACGTCCTGGTGTTCGAGCCGGTGTCGTTAAAGTAATGCTGGCCAAGAACAACCCGAATCTGTGACCGCAATGGACTGAGAAAGAGAGTTACAATGAAGTTAAAATTTCATAAATGCAAATGCATATAAACACACAAACACACACATACTTGCGCAGGAAGCAGTGGGCCGCGGATACGATCCAGCAGGCAGAAACCAGCGTTCCCGCGCAGAACTCATCTCTGATGTACAACGCTGCCATCCAAGGGTGAGCGCCAGGCAATGCGGACGTCCCACCCAGGATACGACCCCGACTGATCCGTTTCCTGTGCCTCTTACCACACACCGGTGTCCTGGCAGGGGTGCGGGGCGGCCGTGGTACAGCAGTCATGAAAGGACCTCTGCGGGAAGCTGACAGCAGGAACAGAGAGAATATTCAATTAAAATAATCCAAACACACCTGATTGAAGTATATTGAATATAAGTCATCAAGAAATCAAAATTGGCAATTCTTCTTTATTTTTTTTATGAGCCCTCGTAATCTTTAATCAAAATAGCTTTCCGTCCATCTTTCAGCACCATCTCTGATGACGTGTTTACTGGCGCAAGGGCGGGACAACCTGTCAATCACATGAAATCCACTAATAGCAAACCACAACTATCAACTAAGGTCCAATCAATTCCCCATGGACAAAATCAAGTCCCATAATATGTCACAATAGGGAAGAAAAGACTATCGCAACTTCTGTTTAATGCCGACTTTACAAGAAACTGCCACCAAAAGATTTGTCTTAGCATTTGTGCTTTTGTCAGCAGTTTTCCATCAGCTAAGAAAAAGGAAATCTGCAAATATGACACCAATTAAATAGAATCAATAGGCCTATGTATACTGAAGAAACCATATATAAACGAGTCATTGCAAAAAATTAAGGGATTATATATACAGATGATCTATAGATGATCCGTTTGCGCTACATACAGTACACTACTGTTTTTAATGCTTTTAAAAGAGTACACTACTGTTTTTAATGCTTTTAAAAGAAGTCTATTGTGCTCACCAAAGCTGCATTTATTTGATCAAAAAACAGTAAAAACAGTGAAAAATTATTACAAATTAAACTAACTTTTTGTCTATTGTAATATATTGTAAAAAATGTCATTTATTCCTGTGATGCAAAACTGAATTTTCAGCACTATTACTCTTCAGTGTCACATGATCCTTCAGAAATCATTCTAATATGTTGATCTCCTGTTTGCAGTTCAAGATAAAATTCTAAATTATTATCACTGTTGAAAACAGTTGTGCTGCCGTGTCCCAACCGTGATATATTTTCGGTTTTGAGGAGTCTTTCATGAGTAGAAAGAACAGCATTTATTTTAAACAAAAATCTTTTGTAACATTACAAATGTCTTTACTGTCACTTTTGATGAATTAAATGTGTTCATGTGCAATGTGCAAAAAGAACAAAAATCTTACTGACCCCAAACTTTTGATCAGCAGAGTAAATAAATTGTAATAATGAATAGGTAACAGTAAGAGCAGCTTGCTTTAACATGTTTGTCGCTGATCACTCGTGTCGCTCATGTCTGTGCTAGAATCAAGGTTAATAATCCATAACATATTCAGGGCGTTCCAGCTACATGATGTCAAGTGCTCATGACCAATAAACCTATTGCTTCAGGCAACACTGGTTTAGATTTCCTCGTCCCACGCCTGGAGGAAGCCAGTGAGAATTCTACAGAATTTTTAGGAAGCTTTATCATTCTTTTACTTCTCATGTGCAACTATTTTTGAAAAATCCAGAATATTCTGGAGATATAAGGATTTGTTGCTCTTGTGTGTGCATGTGAAGTTGTACTAACATGGTTGTTTTGAGCAGGGCTGGATGTCGCAGTACTCCCAGGAAATGGCTCTCTCCATCATTGTGTAACACCACGGCAGCTTATCTTGATCAGGGTTCCTGCCATATGAAGTCACATGGAAAATCTCAGACAGTACAACATCAATGCTTTCTGCAAAATCAAATAAAAAAGTATCTATATTAAACACAGAATTACTAGATTTTTACATTTTCAGGAGATGACATGAGTGGCACTTGCACATACTGCGATAATAGTTGTTAGGGCATTGCTATGTGGTTGCTAGGGTGCTCTGTGTGGTTGCTAGGTGCTTGCATGTGATCTTCTGGTCTCTGGAATTTGTGAAAATTGTATGTCCGATTGCTTAGAAAAGTAAGTACACAGTTACGTAGAAGTACTACCCTTTACACTTTAGCAGACTTAAAGGGGTCATATAATGGTACATGCACTTTTACAAGTTGATTGTACTGAAATGTGGGTTGGCAGTGTCTGTACACAACCATCATATAATGATAAAAATCCATCCAGTGGTTTTGTTTTAATCTCCTTATATGTTTTCCCCTGCCTCAAATCGAGGCGTTCGAGCCTGTGACGTCACAAGCTCGCACGCCCCTCCCACGATTGTTGATTGACAGCAGGGTTTCAACACAGACCCGCCCTCGCTAGTGAGCCAGCTGTCAATCATAGTCTGCGCGGACCGGCGCGGTCATTGTTGATATGCTGGAGCACTGTCTATGAGCAGAATGGCGTCTAAGCGATTGTGGTGTTCTGTTCTTGGGTGCAATAAGGAACCCAGCAGTCATTTTAATGTTCCTAAATCCGAAACGCTGAAGACGCAGTGGCTGAGTTTGTTTTCGAAGGGAATATTCCCCTCGAGCAACGTCAATACTTTCATGTTTGCGCGAATCATTTCTCACCAGACTGCTTCATAAAAGAGGGTCAGTATAAAGCTGGTTTTGCTACGAAGCTGCTCATGAAAAAAGGATCGGTACCAACTATTCGTGTTCCTGCTGAACCTCTAGATTAGAACAACTGAAGTGAGTGTAACGTTTTATTAAAGGGGGGGTGAAACACTCAGTTTCACTCAATCTCATGTTAATCTTGAGTACCTATAGAGTAGTATTGCATCCTTCATATCTTCAAAAAGTCTTTAGTTTTATTATATTTATAAAAGAAAGATAGGCTGAACCGAGTCTTTCCGGAAAAACCCGAGCGGGTGGAGGCGTGCCGTGTGGGCGGAGCTAAATAATCACGAAACGAGCGCGCGAAGCTTTTGCGTTGAGAGCGTCTGGAACAGTGTTGCCAACTTAGCGCCTTTGTCGCTATTTTTAGCGACTTTTCAGACCCCCTTGGCGACATTTTTTCAAAAAAGCGACTAGCGACAATTTTAGCGACTTTTTGGACAAACCTCAGTAACCTCCAAATGTTGCCAGTACTGTCCTGCGAGCGCGAGGTCTTGCTTTCTCCCTGTCGTCACTCTCTCTAGCTGCGTCTCCCCTGTTCAGTGAATGGAGAGGAGTGCACGGCCGCTGACAGACGCCAATGAGCAGTGTTTTTCCACGGACTTATCACTTATCTGCTTTTCTTTTGTTTTATATTTAAAGAATTTAGTTTGACCATTTTAATTTTATTTCTTTTCTTGTGCTTATTACTTGTAAACACTATCACAGAGCTTAGTTCATCCGGTTCCCATTCAGATAATGTTCCACATAGGCCTATAAAAAATGTAATCATTCACTATATTATAGCTACTCGTTCAATTGTCTGACAACAAAAAAATAGGAAACGAGAACAGCTTTATTTGACATTCGGCTATATTATATTGAATAGAACATTAATTTAGAGAGAAAACGCACTAGGCTGACAGAACGCAAGTACGACGCGATGACGTCATTAATATGCTAATTGACGTATGACGTCATCTAGCGACTTTTAGGGAAGGCCTTAGCTACTTTCCTTTGAAAATAGTTGGCAACACTGGTCTGGAAGCTGTGAGTGACATCCGAAAATAAACCATGGCTAACAATCAGATAGTAATCCCATGCAGAACAAGGATCTAAACAATACTAAGGGCTCGTTCATACAGAACGCGTTTTTGCTCACAAAAACGTGAGATGGGCAGTGAAATGGGTGAAAAACATAAGGTCTCGAGCGTTTTTTTTTAAATAGAAGTGATTTGAACTTGAGCGCAGTGTTTTTAGAACACCATGTCATGCGCGAGTTTTATAACATTTGTGTGTTGTAAACAGACAGACTCGTGGTTTATGAGGACACGATTTATTTTTACAATAAACAAACTGACACCTACAGAGGCCAGCTAAACAAATGTATTTAAACACACACACACACACACACACACACCATACATCGCATGCTCCATAGATATACATTAACTGTATGTGATCATGTTTACTTGCTGTGCTTACACGCCGATAGTTAACAACTCACAGACATTTGAAGCAGTTTTACTCACCGCCTGCGGTTCCAACGCACGACCGTGAACCTTTATCGTTGGGACTGCTCCATCTTTAAGTATTAGGCGATCTGCAATTCCGGCGTTGAACTGGGCCTTGTTTATAAAACTATTACCGTCGAAATGAAGGGAACAAACAAAAACACTTGCACAACTCCGTTGCTGCTCTGGAAAAACAAAATCCATCCACAGGTCCCTTAACGCTGGGTTCTTTGGAAATTTGTGTAGTGTTGTCTTGCCCTGGCAACCAAAAACACACTTTTTTTGTGCCATTTTTTTAATTGCAGCGCAGCCGACCGAGCCCAGCGCTCTGATGGGCATAGGCGTACCAGAGAAAGGCCCAGTCCCAATTCTCACTTGAGCCCTAAGGCCTTCCTGGAAGTGGACACTTGTTGAAAGTGCACTTAGCGGAGTATAGGCCAATTTATACTTCTGCGTCGGGTGCGCGCAGTACGTACGGCGTAGCATACGCACAGACGCGTACCATACGCCGTACCCTTCGCCGTAACCTGACGCGCACCTCCTCAAAAATGTAACTACACGTCGCGACGACGCGGACCGCAAGATCTGTGATTGGTCGGCTTGGTAGCATCGCGTTTCCTCCTATGCATTTCCGGCGTGTTCTTCTGCACCGCCCGCCATTTTTAAATTCTAAGTACAGCGAAACTGTTAAAAAAACTAAAAATGTACCTTTTCCACCTCGATAAGCTCCAACTCCAACATGATCTGCTCTCTTTCAGTCGGCATTGCTTGTAGTAACCTAAACTCAAAACAGCCGCGAGGAATCTTCTTCTTCTTGCCGCGAGGAATCTAAACACAGTGGAACATTAAAACCCTCCGCCGCCAACTAGCGTTTCGGCGCTGTACTGCAGAGCAACGCAGACCTAAACGCAGAAGTATAAATGCTCATGACGGCGTTGCCTACGTGCGTAGCCTACGCCGTACACTACGGCGTACACTCGACGCAGAAGTATAAATTGGCCTTAAGTGTGCAAGGGCCCGAAGCTGTGAAGAGCAGAATTGGGACAGTTTTGCACACATCACTTCTGTTGTGATCAGGGGAGTAAACACCGTTCATTTGGCTAATGTGTGTGCTGCTTATAATAGCTGTAACATGACACAATCCTTTGAATGAAAAAATTTATATTTTTTTTACTCTTAGCTACCAACCTTTCTGTTGATGTTATTAATATTAAAACAGTTTTTGGCTAAGATAAATTGTGATAAGATAAATTGTGATTGAGGTTTACCTGAGCTTATACTGCCTTACCGTATTCACAGCGATTCGAAACAATTTTAATTATGTTATTATGGAAATTGATATATGAAATTCTTCCCATCCCATAGGCTATATATTAAAATAGTCTTACACAGGTTATATGAAATAAAATGACGCAACCCTGTCTCTTTTTGTTAAATTTCCGTTTTATTGATCAATAATAGCCATTATTAAAGTATAAGTAGCCTAAAAAGTATAAGAAGCTATATAAGTCAAGAAATAAAGCAAGTTAAAAGATTCAGTCAAACATAAGTCAATAGGCTAATGTTACAACGTTACCGTTAAATAGCCTAAATATATAAAGTTATGAAACTTCACTTTGCCCTCAGCCAAAACGTTTTGCCAGGGAACAAATCATAGATTAATGAAACCAAAGATCGCCCGTTAGATATACACAAGCCGATTTATAGCTCATGTTTAACCACTAGACACAGAGCCCGCGGGAAACGTCAGAATGACTAGCCGAGGTAAGGCTGTTCCAGGCTGGGTACATGAGCACTGAGCGACCGCTTATCCCTGGAACAACGAAAACGTCAGATCAATTTTTTTAATAGGCGCTATCTGTATAAATAAACCACATATTTGAGCTTTAAACAACTATATTCTCGACTGAAAAACTCTTAAAACTACATTTCGTGACACAATAACACTAATATTTTTAAATTTCGCGGCCTTAAAACCACGTCACCACACCGGCTTCCTTTATCTTCGGAGTTTCCGCTCCCGAACAGCACCATAGCAACCGTTCTCCTTCTCCCCCATTGGTTAGCTGTTCGAAACGTCACATCACTACAAGGATTCTGGGTAATATCCCATAGCAAAGTGAGGTCTGATGCGCACTTGCGAAAGGGGTGCATTAAGTGCCCTTATGATCACCCCTTGAGAACACTATTAGAGGATCGGGACACCCTACGGCCTCGCACCCCTTAGCGAGAACGCGCATTGAGGGGCACAAGGGCGCAAGTGCGGATATTGGGACAGTTCCGGGTTCTGAACTGTTGCAGTTCCACTCTAGGTCCATATGAGGGCGCTCACAGGCGGAGTGCAGAATGAATGGAGGTCTATGGAGCAATACCCCTAAAAATCCACTTTTCTCAGGATATAATTTTTTGTCTAGTAATTCGAATGTTGTATTCGAAAGAAGATGCAAAGAAATTACACATTGCTGGGTGTTAGATTTTTTAGAGTCACTTATTTGCTTTAAAAAGTCTTTTAAAATGTCAATGACGTCATACACATCGTACGACCAGAGACCTGCTTTACGGCAATCCTTCAGTCACTGGTGCTTTCGCGCATAGACAGACTAGAGAAGCCGCGAAATTTAAAAATACTACTGTTATTGTGTCACGAAATGTAGTTTTAATAGTTTTTCAGTCGACAATGTAGTTGTTGAAAGCTCAAATATGTGGTTTATTTATAAAGATAGCGCTTATTTAAAAATTTGATCTGACGTTTTCGGAGTTGTGATATCCAAGCCTTTACCGGGGTCTCAGCGCTCTGCACCCCGCCTGGAACAGCCTTTACTCGGTTAGTGCTTCTGACGTTTGTGGTTAAACATGACATATAATTCGTCTTGTGTATATCTAACGGGCGATCTTTGGTCTCATTAATCTTGTTCCCTGGCAAATCGTTTTGGCTGACGGCAAAGTGAAGTTTCGTAACTTTATATTGTGGCTATTTTAACGTTGTATCCTGCTGTGTCTGAATCGTTTACTTTATTTATTGTCTTGTATAACTCTTCTTATAACTTTTAGGCTACTTATACTGTTATAATGTCTCTTACTGATCAATAAAACTGAAAAATAGACAGGGTTGTAATTTTTTTTTTATATATAGCCTATATTTTATATAGCCTTTTCATTACTATTTTATTTGCTGTACTGTTTGTTTGTTTATTTTATTGACTAAACTATTTACTATTACTTCTCACTTTATCTTATATTTACTATTTGCACTGCACTGTAGTTGTACCATATCGTATTACCATAGATAAAGGATCCATCAGTTATCTTTGTTATTGCTAAAATCGGGTCAATCACAGAAATTTTTTTTTTTTCCACAATAAGAAAACTATCGCAGCAAGGTTCCAAAGCGGCCAATAGGGCGTCTAGCAGTATGTATTTATTATGTCTATGCTTTTGCGTTCTGCACTTTCTTTTCTCTCGAGGCATCTACTACACAACTGACACAGGTAAATACATGTGTGGTCCCGCTTCGGACTATATGGGGAGGCTGCAGACCTGGAGCCGGCAGATATACGCCCCTGGCAGTTTTACGCCCCGGCAGTTTTAGGACCCTGTTGTTCCTGATGCGTCCAGTAGAGGGATATACTGCGAAATAACATAATTAAATCGACGCTTACACATTAATAACCCGTCCATAGACTTGACAATTTTGTGTTTTTTGTTAATTTAAATATAAACGTTATAGTGTAGATCTCCACGGATTAAATTTAAAGACAGGCAACAAAAGAAAATTAAAATTAATTTTAAATTGAGTAGAGAAGATAGGGGAAGCTAAACCTACACGTGGTTAGCTAAGTTTAAGCCAGATAGAACAGAAACCTGTCAAAATACATTATAGACCCATATAAATGAATTGATATCTACCTACCCTAGCTCTATCGAGCTAATCGTTTATAAATAATAAATGTTGCATCATTGCTAAAAAACAATAACTTTAGCAGATTATTTAACATACAAATGACAGAATCTATTTTTTTTGTCAGATTTTAATTCTAACGATGTTAAACTTGATTATACGGTATTATTACTTTGTCTTCTGGGCAAGTTTCATCTTCATAAAGACAGAACCATTCAAAGTAGGCTAATCCTGATTCTAGAATATTCTCCTCTGATATAAAGTTCATTTTTTTCTTCCTTTAAGAAAATGTCAGAACCTTTAAACTCAAAGGTTTATAAAACAAATAATATCATTGAGTCTGTTGTAAAGAACCTTACATGTTTTTATATTGACAAAATGTAATATTGCATTGATTTGTGTACCCTAATTCAATCTCTTTTGATGTCCGTTTACCCCCCTTGTTTTTTTGTTAAACAGATAATTTAATCCGTGCAGATCTACACTATAACGTTTATATTTAAATTAACAAAAAACACAAAATTGTCAAGTCTATGGACGGGTTATTAAGCGTGGATTAAATTATGTTATTTCGCAGTAGATCCCTCTACTGGACGCATCAGGAACAACAGGGTCGTAAAACTGCCGGGGCGTAAAACTGCCAGGGGCGTATATCTGCCGGCTCCAGGTCTGCAGCCTCCCCCTACTCGCTTCGGATGCCACGATGCCATCAAGCGGTATCTCTGGTCGTAATCAGTCCTTCACTGACCAATCAGCGTCCATTAGCAGAATGCTAGCGTGTTATGGGCAACAACAACTCAACCTGTAAGAAATCGAAAGGACATAAGTACTCGTTCATTCAACTTTCGACCTATAACCCATGTTGGACTTGCAAACCCATGTTGGACTACATTCAAATCTAAGATTTCTCAATGACAATCGGGTGAAAAAGACAAATTTAGCCGTTTAGCCCCATAGACTCCCATTCATTTTGCACTCGGACTATTGCCCCCAGTGGAACTCTGGTGGAACTACAACCAAAAAGTCGGTACAATAGGACTTAATAGGGAGTGGCCAGGCTTTCCGTAGACGGGCTTTGGGCGTACTCTCGCACGCACTAGGCTACAGATGCGCGCGCGCCCTTCCGGGAGAAGTGCCCTTAAGACCCGTATAAGGAAATTCCGGCGACTCTGACGTCACACACGCCTGTATTCGAAAAAAACTTTCCGAAACTTGTGACAACCCGGAAGGAGTATTTTTGGAACAGAATTACTCCATCAAACTTACAACTTCATTTTTGAAACTTTGGCCATGTTTAGCATGGGAATCCAACTCTTTAACAGTGTAAAAAACTCACTATGCATGAAACAGCATTTCACCCCCCTTTTAACCTTTATATTAATATTTATATCTTTGCAAATCGCTAGCTGCACGCTTCACGATGAATGCGTCTAAGGTTTACACTCAGGGTACATTACGGCATGTTTTCTATGTACGACGTTCTCAATATAATACATAATCCCACGTTTATAATGAACAACGCGTTATGGTTATTGTGTTACAAACGTGTACGCACAGAAGAGAGGGACGGGGTGAGCAAAGCTCATTATCATTTAATGGCATATGCACTGAAACGGCGTGCTGAAAACAGAGCTGTTTTTGACCAGGTAAAATAACTGTTTTCTTACAATACTAATGAGAATTTTTAATTAAAGTATATTACAAACTTTTAATTTAGACCCTAAAGAATCATATTAGCTTGTACAAAAATGGCATTATATGACCCCTTTAATGAAATAATATACTTTAACAGAATATACTCAAGTGAGAACTGAACTGCATGTTAATTGCAATGAAATAAAAATTTATTTTTAAAAGTATTTAAATTTACAAGCTGAATTAAAGGCAATTAGTAGAACTTTAAGGTGTTTTTTGAGCAAATTAGGTAGGATTTAAGTACATCTTCATTTGTAATTTCATAATTCTATTGTCTTTGAAATATGGTTAAAGTTACTGCTGAATGTACTGACAAGCATTTATGGTAAACTAAAATATACTTTAATGCCATTTCTATTGAAACCGGTATGTCAGGTATTTAAATATATTTATACACATTTGCAATGATGAAGTTGCAAGTACTTTATGTGTTTTAGTATGTTAGTCAACACATCAAAATAAGTGTACTTTAAAGCTGCAGTCCATAGTTGTTCCTCTTTGTCGCCATCTCTGTTCGAAATCTGCAATTGCAGTTATTTGCGGAATTATCAACTTTACGTGGGTTGTGCCTCGGCACGGCACAGCGCAGATGAATCCAATGTTTTGAGGAGAATGTGGGGCTGTCAGTCACCACGCCGATGTGGATACTGTCATTCAGAATCACAGATTCTACTTTTTGGAAGTATGACCAACATAAGAATTTTCACCGGGAAATATCATCTGAACAAGTAAGTAACATCCAATTTTGTTCTGACCAACTAAGGGAAAAAAAGTAATTGCAGTAAATCGCGCTGATTAAATCTAACGATCGCTTATCATATCACGTCAAAACGTGCAAATTATATTTTGTTCTCAAATTGATAAATGTTAACAACATCAGCATTGCGTGACTACATTTAATGCCTTTCCGATATTTTTCCTTGTTTTCGCATGGGCACGGATGCAGTCTCTTTTTTTCTGTAGCCACTCCGAAGTGAATCTCCAGTTGTCACTGGTGATTGTCGTTTGAACCTTTCTGGATCTGCCATCAAATTGATGTTTAATTATATCAATTTAATTTAATTATATTTAATTATATACCTCCAGCATCCTCACACGCAATATAGCCTACTAGCAGAGACTCCTTCTTTATGTGTACAGATGTGACGTAATGACGCAAAGACATGCTCGAATTTCCCACGGAAATCCACCAGTACCACTGGAATTAAAAACATTATTACAAGCTTACCGTTTTAAATTGAGCTAAGGCAAGCAGATAGTTTTGAACACTGGCTGGTTATGTACTTGCTCAAAAAATTATTTTTGATCATTTTTAACCCCACAAAGTTACGGACTGCAGCTTTAAAGCATGCCAAATGTTTACTAAAACACAATGATATAAATGTACTGTAAATTAAATCTTTTAATTTGATATGATTACAAAGTGCACTTTTTAAAAGTGTACTTAGGTGTGTTTAGAAACATAGTCATCAAAGTGTAATCTCTTCAAGTACACTTAAAAAGCATTTTATTTATTAATATTATATTACCAGCAAATGTTATAGGCTATACTTGTAATGCTTGGAGTGCACTGCAAGTGCCCATTCAACAGTTAAGTGCACTTTTTTTAAAGTTACCTTTGCTTTATTATAAAAGGTAAATCTTCAGCAATTTACTATAATGACAAGCATGAAGAGACTGTAAATGTAAGCAGTCACCTGCAGAAAGCATGTTCTCCGAGGCCCCTGAGGGGGGCGCTGTCCACTGTATCTACTGTCAGCTCACTGAACAACAGATCCGAGTTCCACGGCAGGCAGGATGATCCAGAGACGGTGGCATTGGCTACACCACGATACTGTGCACCTGAATCACGGTAACACTGCTCTCGTGGGTCTGATGACACACAGGGAAAGTTTATTAATTAAAGATTATTAAAATATTTATACTGAATTTGCATGTGTGTTAATAGAGTGGTTCAGAGATGACAACGAAACCCAGAACACTAATTCACCGCTGGTTCCTTCAACATTTTCCTATGGGGTTTTATAATGTTTGTTTTGTTTTTTTACGAGTAAAATAAAGCCTGTGGTAAAAATTCCTTGAAGATACTTTGAAATTTGGTTCTACAATGTAAACTGCACACACTCTCACCCCACACTGTCTTATATAGTTACTTATTAGAAACATACAACATAGGTTTTCAAAAATAAACTTTCCAGTATGGATGTGTGTAATTTATGTGTTTTTGTCCTGGTAAACCCTACATTATGGGGGGATTTAATATACAGTTTGTACAGTATAAAAATCAGTATTTCTAAGAAAAATCCCCATAAAACATGGAAACCAGGTGCGTGTGTGTGTGTACTCACTGATATTACAGTATTGTCCAATATATCCAGATTTGCACCCACACACCTCTTCACCAGTGGCCTCAATCATTCTACAGACTCCGTCATTTTCACAGAGATTTCGCAAACACACTACACACACACAAAAACAGAAAGAACAATGTTCAAAAGAAAAAAGCAGTAGCTCCAGGGGATCAGATGTCGGTAGTTTCAGTGTGTCGTACCCGTGTAACGTGCACGCTCGCAGCTGACCTCCCCACCAAGGCACGTGCACATCTCTACGCTTCGCTGGTAGATCCGTCCCCACGATTCTCCAATGTCATAGTGCTTCAGACGCAGCGGCTCGTAGCACTTCTCTACAAAACAAACCCTGAGCTTTCAGAAAACCAAACACTCTCGACTCCTCCACCAATCAGAGTAACCCTGAAGAAACAACTCCACCAATATCAAATAACAGACAAAAGAAGAGACACAAAAACTTCACGGTACACAGGACATGTGATAGTGTTAAAGATGAGACATTTTCAAAACATAAAAGAGAGCATGGCATGAATGAAACGAGTGATGTAATGCTCGAAAAAAGAAAGCTCTCCTATACACACACACACACACACACACACACACGCTTAATTACTTACATGAGAACAGATCGTACACTATTATTGTTAATTACTGATACACTAATTAACACTGATGAGGATTTTATTCTCAGTTACACTGAGTTCACAAGAATCACATAAAGATGACTTTATCTCTAAAGATATCGATTCCCCTTGTGAAATAGAAGTACACATCAGCATACATTTAAAGAGTGCTTATAATGGAAATGATAACATATTCATTATATTTTAATATAAATATTATATTTAAAAATATACTGTATACTTAAGTATAAACTGAATGTAATGTTTTTGGCACTTAATTGCATGTTAATTGCAATTAAATGAAAATGTTTTATAGTTTAAATTTATGTTAAATGCAATTAGCTGAACTTTAGAGTGTTTTATTGACCCACTTAAATAGGACTTCTAAGTCCTTCCCACCTAAGTAGTTACATGTAATTTCATAATTACTTCTATTGTCTATGCAACATGGTTAAAGTGTAATGCCGAATGTATTGACAAGCTGAAATAACATTTAATGTAATTTCTATTGAAACTATTTCTGTCATGTATTTGACTATATTTGTAGTTACACATTTGTAATGATGATTATGGAATTTAGTACAATTAAAATAAGTTTACTTGTTTAAAGCACAACAAAAGATTAATAAAACATACAAAGTGCACTTTTTAAACGTGTACTTAAGTGTTTTTTTTTTTTTTTTTAAGTACACTTAAAGGGATACTCCACTTTTTTTGGAAATAGGCTCATTTTACAACTCCCACAGAGTTAAAATGTTGATTTTTACCGTTTTTGAATCCTACCTTCAGTCAACACAACGGAACTATTTTCAGGCGCTGCGTCATATCATTACGCCTGCTGCACTCATGGCACGGCAGTGAAGTTTATTGATTATTACGCAGGAATGAGAGTATAGTTCCTAGCCATATCTGCCTAGAAAATCGCAACTTTACATTTTCCGTCGGGCTTAGTGCACGATGTAACTACAGAAGAGTCAAGTTTTAAATAGGAAAAATATCGAAAACTCTTTGGTCATTTTTTTTATTTAGAAATGCTAATGGTCGTGTCCACTTCAATGATGTATGCTAAGCTATGCTAAAAGTGGTACCGCCAGAACCGGAGATCGGCTGAATGGATTCAAAAACGGTAAAACTCAACAGTTTAACTCTGGGGGAGTTGTAAAATGAGCCTATTTCCAAAAAAAGTGGAGTATCCCTTTAAGTGGCCTTTTATTTGATTATTATTATATTATCTGCAAAATTACTTATTTGAAGTACACCACAAGAGCACATTCAATACAATTAAGTGCCTTTAAAACAATATCCCAGCAGGTCAATGAATTTGCACAACTCCACTCATGATTGTGCCATATGAGTGGCAATTAATAACCATAATCACACTCAAATGATCATTTCATTATGTGAATATGGCCACTTCACTGTCTTTCACTCACTTTTTTCACACAGAGCTCCAGTAAAGCCATCAGGACACACACAATCAAATGAGTCCAGGTGAGTGTTCATGGCACAAACACCCCCATTCAAACACGGGTTTTGCCGGCAGAGACCCCGACCCTGACGTGGAGGAAGAAACCCTGAGGAGCGAATGAGATAAATAAAGAAAAACTTGCTTATCATCATGACGGCAGGACTGATTCATCATGCAGCTGAGTTTGCTCAATTCTCAAACCTTGAATGAGTCAATGAGTCATATACAGTATCTGTTTTCCAAATCATAAACAATGTTGTGCCAAATGCAGTCCGCATTACGCTCATGATTACTGAACACAGTTATATGTGCATGTAGATACAGTACAGAAGCATTTCCGCCCATTTGAACTTACACAGCACATGTTTGGCCAAGTGAATTAAATTAAATTAATAATTAAGCTTAAAAATGTCTTGTACAGGGAACCAAATAAGCCAGAACTGCCACTAATGACCCTTCAAAAAACCAGAGCATGACGTGAGCGTATACACAGACAGTGTGTTTGAACCAGAGCACCCGCTTGAAAACAAACTCTGTACATCTGCTGTTATAAACAGAGGTTTGCGTCTTACAAACAAAGCGTGTCATTTATGCATTAACATAAACACCTCTCTCTGAAAGTAAAACATCCTGGTGAACCCACAGTGTCAGCCATTAATCCATCCACAACCGACAAACGTTCAAATGACTGCAGACTAAAGCTGGGTGATATATACATTATATATTTAATGATTTTGTAAGCAATATAAAATGAAGCAACATTATATCACAACGAATTTAATCCAGTGTTAAAACCGATTAATTCACTTCCTTGCAGTGTTGTTATTGATAATTTAAGTTAAAACTATCAAATATAGTTAAAAAATATTTTATTTCACCTTTATTTAGGTTTTAAGTTAAGTTTTAAATATGTATGGCCTGGTTTCACAGACAGGGTTTAGATTAAGCCAGGATTAGGCCTTAGTTCAATTAGTACATTTAAGTAGCTTTTATAAACATGCCTTAGAATAAAAGTTCATTCGAAAAAGTTGGTAACACTTTACAATAAGGTTTCATTTAATGTATTAACTAACATGAACTAACATTGAGCAATACATTTGTTACAGTACTTATTAATCTTTGTTAATGTTACTTAATACAATTACAACTGTTCATGTTAGTTCACATCGCATTAACTAATGTAACAAATACAACATTTAATTTTAATAATGTATTAGTAAATGTTGAAATTAACATTAATGAAGTATTGTTCATTCTTGGTTCATGTTAACTAAAGTAGTTAAATTGCTACCAAAATTTGTATTTCAGTGAATTGATTCATGAATCATGCCTCTGATTTAATTTGCATCAGCACTCAAAAATGTTCATGGAAGTCTCTCCATGGTATTTTTAGTATATTTAAATGCTTTTGTAGAGATATTTGTAGGTAAATATCACTGATTATTACTATTTACTGTTATATGCATACAAATTCCGTTATTGCTTCATTTAGTTAATAATTGTGAACGACATGCCATGCTTATGACATCCACATATTTTACTGTGCATCAGTTTATTAAACAATAAATATTTAGATTTTACTTGGCAACAAATTGACTGTTTGGTTCATCTGATTGAAAAAAAAACAAATCAGATCAAATACTGTCAATGAGATGTAACCTGGGTGAAGTTGAGCATTTGAATGTAGTTTAAGTAGAGTACTTATTTTTTGTTATGTTTGATGTAATTCAGGAATCTCAGCATATGTGACTGTTTCTTTAAAATTCAGTTTTGCTATTTTGTTTGGTTGAAATGTACTTGCTGGACAATGTGGTTTTTACAAGCAAGTTTGATCATTTCTTTTGTATTATTGGATAAGGGATTTGCAAAGCCCACCTCCTAGAGAGCTACTCGTGACGGTGATTGGTGGTTGTGAGAAAAAGGGACGAGAGAAATGACAGGCAGAGAGGAGGTGAAAAGAAAAATCCAAATCGGATTGATTTTCCTAGATTGTCGTTTGTTTTGTTTTACTAACTAACCGTTAGTAAGTGATTTGTGACTAATTTACTTTACTGTTTAGGAGTATGGTGTGAAAGACCAATGTTTTGTTGAGTTTGATACAACGTTACTTCAAAACGAAGACAGCATCTTTGAGTTTTGCCGCGATAGGTGAGAGAGAGTGAGATACGATCTCTTGGGACGAGACGGCAGTTTAGCACTGCGTTTCTGAGGCAATTCGATATAAAGACAGTCATTTTAAAGCATCATGACTAACCAGATAGCGCTCTGAATCACCGTGAGGTTCAGAGTTCCTCTGGCTACGTGGGACACGCGGAGCCACGGACTATTTCACGAGACTGCAGCCAAGAGAGCGAAACACTCGTTTACTGAGCCCAACGGACAGCTTTGGGACTTACAGGTATTATTGATTTTATTTTATTTTTGCTCTTTAGAGTGAAGGGGCCAATTTTGAGTTTGCTTTAAAGGCCACAACGCACACAAGCAACGCTACAGGCCTGCAACGCGGGGGAAAGCGCGCACGTGAGACTGTGTGAAAGTGTGTGTGTGTGTGTGTTATGATGCAGCAGACACCAGGGGATCCATACGCAGTATTTATTAGAAGAAGTCAAACAGGCAGGGATCAAATAACAGCAAACAGGGCAATGGAGACAAGGCAGAGACAAACCAGATACAGGCAGAGGGTCGAGGCAGGCAGCGAGAATCAGAGTCCAGTGAAACAGTCCAGGGTCAGGGCAGGCAGAAAAGGGTCAGCAACGATAAACAATCCACAGGTCAAAATACAGGAAGCAAACACAGGAGGATAACGCTCAGAATTGCAACTAACAGTAAAACAAGACTTCGCAATAAGTGAATGTGAAAACCAGGTATTTATGGTGTGAACTAAACAAGATGATGAGAAACAGGTGAATGAGATGAGTGCTGATGAGTCCGGGCAGTGAGTTATGGGAAATGTAGTTTGTGAGTGAAACATGATTGTCTGGTGTGGAGTGCCCTCTGGTGTCTCTCAAGGGCACTCCAGCTGGTGACCGTTACATAGCCCCCCCCCCCAAAGAGCGGCTTCCAGACGCTCAAAAAACTGTCCAGGTGGGAGGTGGAGCGGAGGCGGATCTGGGGGCGGGATGGAGGGCCAGGTCCGTGGAGCAGAAGAGGAACTGGAGACCAGGGTGGAGCAGGCTGTGCAGGCGACCAGGGCGGATCAGGCAGTGCAGGCGACCAGGGCGGATCAGGCAGTGCAGGCGACCAGGGCGGATCAGGCAGTGCAGGCGACCAGGGCGGATCAGGCAGTGCAGGCGACCCTTCAGGCGGCCAGGGAGGAGACGACAGTCCAACTGGCGGCCACGGCGGAAGAAACCCTTCGGGCGGCCACGGCGGTGAAAACCTCTCAGGCGGCCACGGCGGAGGCTCAGGAACCAACACCGGCATAGGTAAAGCCACCGGCCCAGGAACAGCCATCGGCTCAGGAACAGACACTGGATCCGGCTCAGGAACAGACACTGGATCCGGCTCAGGAACTGGAACAGACACAGGCTCGGCGGCCATCTTGTCCGGAGACGCAGGCTCGTTAACGGCCATCTTGTCCGGAGACACAGGCTCGGTGACGGCCATCTTGTCCGGAGACACAGGCTCAGTGACGGCCATCCTGTCAGGAAACTCTGGAATGGACGGGACCAGCATCTTGTGAAACTCTACTGAGCTGGGCAGGACCAGCGGCGAGGAGGACTGAGCGCTGGGCAGGACCAGTGGTGAAGAGGGCCTTGGCTCTGGTTCTGCGGGTATAACGCTCACAGACTCCTGCTTGGCGGGCATAACGCTCTCAGACTCAGGCACGGCTGGACTGGTGTGAGGTGCAGGCTCTGGAACGGCAGACGTGACTTGAACAGTCTCTGGATCGGCAGGCGTGACGAGAACAGTCTCTGGATCGGCAGACGTGACGTGAAGCGTCTCTGGCTCGGCAGAAGTGACGTGAAGCGTCTCTGGCTCGGCAGGTGTCTCTGGCTCGGCAGAAGTGACGTGAAGCGTCTCTGGCTCGGTAGAAGTGACGTGAAGCGTCTCTGGCTCGGCAGGTGTCTCTGGCTCGGCAGAAGTGACGTGAAGCGTCTCTGGCTCGGTAGACGTGACGTGAACAGCGGCCTTTTGCTCGGCGGTCTCTGGCTGGACGGTCTCTGGCTGGACGGTCTCTGGCTGGACGGGGCTGACGTGAAGCTCTGGCTGGACGGGGCTGATGTGAAGTGCAGGCTCGGCTGGACTGGCTCTGGGACAGGCTCGAGCCGGACAAGGCTGGAAGGTCTCGGCGGGAAGAGACTCTGAAACGATGGCCCTCTTGGCACCACGTGCAGACATCAGCGGGGAATCTGCCACGCTGGAAACCAGTCCTGGGCGGCCATAGACCGATCCGATGGCAGGCTTGATGGTTGGTGGGACGTGAACTGACTCAGGCTCTGGTAGCTCTGCTGAGACGTGACGAGGCTCTGGAGAATCAGTTGAGGTGTAGCAGTACTCTGGTTCAACGGGTGTTAGAAGTTCATGGGAACCCTCATCCGCAGGGCCCACAGAAAAGGATGAGCCGCTTAGCCTCAGGGCGAATTCAATATATTGACATAGAGTCCATTGAGGTGTGTTGTCAGGCATGAGATAATTTAACATGTCCTCAAGCCCATGTCGGAAACTATCCTTTAAGATTACATCGTTCAAATCTACCCCATGGCAGAGCTCACAAAATTCTTCAACATATTCCTCTATTGATCGGTTACCTTGGCTGAGGCGGAAGAGACTGATTAGTGGGTCCATAGTGGATCTCGGTTCTTTCTCGGCTGCTGGATCTGAAGTGGCGAAGTCTTCTGTTATGATGCAGCAGACACCAGGGGATCCATACGCAGTATTTATTAGAAGAAGTCAAACAGGCAGGGATCAAATAACAGCAAACAGGGCAATGGAGACAAGGCAGAGACAAACCAGATACAGGCAGAGGGTCGAGGCAGGCAGCGAGAATCAGAGTCCAGTGAAACAGTCCAGGGTCAGGGCAGGCAGAAAAGGGTCAGCAACGATAAACAATCCACAGGTCAAAATACAGGAAGCAAACACAGGAGGATAACGCTCAGAATTGCA